ACGACAATAAGGCCTATTGCATTAAATTCTAAACCCGAAACAAAAGAGAACTTAACACCTTGTTTCTAGATAGAAGGTGTAAAGAATTTGAAAAAACTGCGAATAATAAAAACATCATTTTTTAAATAAAATTCATGGATATCTGACGCGAAATTTTTTTGTAGTACTTTGGCACGAAAATGAAAAGAATGAAAATTCATATTCGTTACGAACTTTTAAGCGGGTGTGCGTGCATTTCTTATGCTTTGTGCTTTGCTTTTTGCCTAAATATGTCCTTAACAAATTGGCCTATATATTCATCCCTCTAATAAAGTAGGCGGTACATTTTTGAAAAAATCACTAACCAAACCGGTTAATAGTAATAACTAACCATGTTGTGTTCATATAATTTTTGTTTCTAATTTAACACACAGCACTAATTACCATTTAACTGTGAAACCCAATCCGAAATTGCGCTTGTGCATAGACACATAGCCTAAATATGTCCTTAACAAATTGGCCTATATATTCATCCCTCTAATAAAGTAGGCGGGACATTTTTGAAAAAATCACTAACCAAACCGGTTAATAGTAATAACTAACCATGTTGTGTTCATATAATTTTTGTTTCTAATTTAACACACAGCACTAATTACCATTTAACTGTGAAACCCAATCCGAAATTGCGCTTGTGCATAGACACTTAATTTTTAGGAATATGTCAGCCGCATTAATGTAATCTGAATTAGCACAGAACACCATTTACATCGATAATCAGATCGAATTGCAATAATCTCGATTAACTTAAAGCCAATGATTGCGTTTACCGACTAATAGAGAGCGAGTTGCATAATGAAAAGCAATAACACATCAGAGTGAATATTAGATTTTTTTGATTTTTTTCTGATACAAAATTAAATGAATAATTACAAAATACATTTAACCGTGAAGCAAATCAACGAAAACTAAAAACTAATTTTGTAAAGCAAATTATTACATAACTATTACAGCCTAGAAACTATCTTTTTTTAATAACATAAAAATTTTATTTTTACTAATTCGGAAATAATTAATAATAATAAATAATTAAAATAGCAACTATAAAAGTGACACGGAAAATAGAAATCGACATTTATTCATAGATTTCGAAATAAAAGACAGCTCCCGATTATTAAACGGTAGTTTTAACTGTGATTACGCGGCGTAAAACTTAACTTAATCTTCGGTAATGAAAAAGAAAAATTCAATGCACTACTGTAGACCTACTATAATAGCATCTACACGAATCCTTTTTAAGAATTATGACCATATTTGTTATTTTTTCCCAGTTTTCTTTTTTAACAAGTAAAAAAATAATATACTATGCAACAAGTGAAGTAAACGGCATTTGAGTCACGAGATTATTTGGCACGAGCAAACCGAGTGCTTAATGGAACAGTTACTTAAAAAGTTTACCAAACGTGTTGCATACTACACTTTTTCTACGACCATTAGTTTGTGTGTGAATTTTTGCAAAACAACACGAATACATTCAAGCCGTGTGATAAACTATCCGAAAACATATCCGGTACCCCGCTCCCAAACCAGTGCGGTAATATCCCGGACATGTCCGAAGGGATCCGTGGGACAAGAAACTCACGTGGTAAAGTGAGGTGTATAATTAGGTATTTTACAGAAGGGAGTAGAAAACAGTATATTATGCAACAAGTGCGGTAAACGGCATTTGACATACGAGTTTATTTGACACGAGCGGAGCGCAGTGGAACGAGTGTTTAATAAACGCGTGATTTAAAAAGTTTACAGAACGTGTTGCATAATACACTTTTTCTACAACCGTTAGTTTGGGTACATTTTCGCAAAACAACACGAATATATTCACTGACATGACCGTCAGAATTGACAAACGTCAAAATTCAAAGCATGGGAAATATCCCCGAAAACATCCGATTGCTCCCAAACCCGTGCGGTAAAATCCCGGAAATGTCCGAAGTGGCTCGGATTCGTAGGAAACAAAACTGACGTTTGCCGCATGCTAAATCGGTGTGTAATTAGGTATTTTACGGACGGGAGTAGAAAAAATCGAGGAAAAGCATGAAAATACTTGCATTAACGAATTTAATCAACTAGTATTGTTCACGGGGAAGTTTTTATTTATTTATTTATGACTAAAATTAAAATATATTCTATTTTTTTTTTCATAAAATTTGTGTTTATCGCCGAGCGAGAGGTACAAATTTGCGCTTTCTTCTGCAAGTTTTTTTCTTTAGAGAAGAATCTAACATTGCGATTATAAGCAAGTATTACTTTATTTTTAAATTTGTCTTCTTTGCAAATGTTTTGTTAGATATAATATTAATGTCGCTAGTTGAATGAAGCACAGTAAGGATTATTTTCTTTGTATTTGTGTTTACATTACCATTTATTTCGATGGTAGCGATTATTACTAAGGGAAAAACGGAACCGAGAAGCAGTCCGCACCCAAATTTATCCATTGCCATCGATGCAAAAGATAATGAAAAAACATTTTTCATTTTTTCTAATAACGCAATATTGTCGAAAAATTTATTTTACTCGGAACGGATAGACTGTGTCCTCTAGCCGATACTGGTTGATATTGCAAATTGATTTTTACATGGTAAGAACAATTTGCGTAAATAGTATGTATTGGCAAACAAGTCGCTCAAGAACGATAAATGCGAAGCAAAGATAAACCCCGAAACCAATTTCAATGAATGCAATAGCGGCGTCGATAATGCCGAATCAAGTGCTCTCAATATTGCGATATAGGAATTATCCCTGCATCTGCTCGTCTGCAACGTCGCGTCTTTTTAAAGTAGATCAGATGGCTTTACCGATAAAAAAAACAAATAAAAAGATGTTGGTTATTTCGAATAGATTCATTTTTTCCCTTATTCAAATTTTCTGACGCACTTTTGGTTTTTTTTTTTAAATTTTTCCTCTCACATTTCATGTATTTATTCTGAGGGGCATATGATTAAACTAATTTTAACACTGCTCAAGTTCTTCAGAACCAAATTTTGAAACAGGGCATTGTTGAAAATTTTGCATTTTGGGACCCGTTATAAAATAGTAATTAAAAAAAATTCGTAGAACACAGTGCTGTAGATAACTTTTGTTATATATTTACTTTTTTTTACCTGAAATGCCCTGTATATTTATTATAGATTACTTCTTTGAGGATTTATGGATAGCTACATGCCTTCAAAAATCCTCTAAACTATATAGCCCACTTTTTGGGGACCTTCAAAAATTAAGCGCTAATTTTTTGAATGCCTGTTATTATCGATTTACGCCAAATCAAACTGGAACTAGTGTTGGGCACTCGACATCGGCATAATGCAAATGTTGAACTGTATTACATGATGATACTTAAATTTATCCAATATCTTCTGAGCGTCCGTTTTTAGCATACCAATTTGCCTGCTTACCGCAGATATCTCAAAATACGATTTGGATTCGTAACAAGAACAAATTTATAATCATAATAAATATTTTCATAGTCACAATAGCGTATTTACCTTTGTAAAATTAATTCCGCAGCTTCTTCAGAATTTACATTACTCTGCATAAAACATACCGGCATATTAATTCATATTTCATACCTGTCACTATTCAAACAAACTGATAAATATAAAAAAATAAATTGCTGTATAAAGTAAAAGTGGATCCAAAAATCGATAAGACATATCAACATTTAGTTATAAATAAAAATGCATATTATGCAAATTAAAAATCTATAAAAGTAATATTTTATTTTTTCGATAAGTTCTTGTTGGTTAGCCTTGCGAAAAAGTAGCACACTCCCGCGGGAACCGTAAATGGGATACCGTGGTTTCTGGTGTCCTATAATAATAATGTACTATAGGTTTAAGTTACTTTAGGTTACTTTTCATAAAACACTCTCAGTTATAATTAATAATGCGATATGTTCTAATTTCCTAACATTCATTAGCAAACAAATTAAATCAAACTAATATCAGACAAACGAGACGACAATCCAAATGACAGACCGACAAAGTAACGACAATACGTGACCAAAACAATAACATTCAAAATACATCAATTAAAGTTTATTTTTATTATTTACTGCAAACATTTTTGGGTAAACGTAATAAAGCAATGGAAATTTTCAGAAAGACGGCGAGTAAAAGTTTGTGAGAGGTCAGATGGTTTTTAGGTAGATTTTAAGAGGCATTCTTCTGTTAGTTCTAAAGGAGAAAACATCCGTGGTGTGAGAGTATTAAATGTAATTGAAAGTGACTGTCTCTTCGAAAAATAAAAGTGGGATTACAAGAAAAAACCCGAGTGTCAATTATTCTTCGTAATATTAGAAGAAATAGATATGCAAGCATCCTGATTTCATCACACTGGAACTGGTTACACATTTGCGACTGATAAGATATTTCCGGAATATGTTAGCCATAGTATTTTGAAGTTTATCAGTTTTGACAGTTCACATCACAAAAAGTAATGGTCCTAGAAAAACTAAAGTATACAACTCGTTGATAAAGATCTTCGGCCGCTCGTTTATTAAGCACTTGCAAGCTCGTGACTAAAACAGCGTTTATAAAAATAACCAGCTATTATGAAATGAATACAAAAACAAACATAGGAGTAAATAACACCTTACTGCTAGCTATGAAGACATAAAATACGGTTCCCAAAATATAAAATTTAGACTGTATTGTAGGATTCTATTGAGCAGAGTTTGGCAGAAAACTTGCTGGTATATATTATTGTATTGTTTTATAGTAATAGAGAAATGTAATTCTTGAAATTGTTTAAAAGTTTGTCTTGATATGGTAAAATTTAAGTAATAAAATAAATACCGCTAAATGCTTAAAACTTTTCCGAGACGAAGAGTTGTATCCAAAACATGAGAAAACTGCCATGAAAACATTTTAAAAATTTCTAATATGTCATGTTTAACTGATATTAATAAACCTTGAAATCATTGCCATTTAAATATCGTGTACTTTAATAATTAAAAAGTACTTTACCTCCATTTAAAATACTATGACACGTCGGTAGAAGATACAGAAGCGACAAAAGCGGCCCGACAAATTCCATAGCAAAAAAATGTATCAGCCTTCACTTGCACCAAAGCTTTAATCACTTCATGGCGGAAGCAGCACTAGCAGATTTAAAAACGTTTTACGAGAGAAGCGTTCTCCGAAATTCCGCCTCGAACCTCATCAGTTTATAAAATATTTCGAAAAAATTAAAAACCCGCAAAAAAATTCAAATCTCCCTCGATACTGGCGGGAACGCCGATTGCAGTGAACATGTGACTGGCAACGTGCTTTACGCGATATAACCAACGTAAGCTCATCCGAAATTCCGCACTGTTGCCACCGCATTCGTCGGTGGTTAGCTGAAAGCTGAAACTCTCTCCCGCGTAGTTGTCAGTGACTTCTGAAACATTTGCTATCTTGCTCATTTTGCGGTCGTAACCGAACAATTTGCATTCGACGATCGGCGGTTGGAGACATGGGCGTTCGTAAGGGAGCGCAACAGAGCTTTGGGAATTGTTACTTATTTAAAAAGGCGGGATAAAAGGCGCGCGGAAGAGCCTCATATAAACAAGACATTTTTATTCTCCGGTTAAAGGGAAATGAAAGTGAATTATTTCCTTTTTAAATTTTGTATTGTGCCTGCTGTGCTACGTGAGTAAGAGGGCGAAGAATATTTTCCCCTTTTTTTTGTGCATTAATATGTTTTGCATCCTCCGATTCAACTGTGATGGGAAAAGACAATATTTTTGGAATGGAATTTTTTTATTTATCAACATCAAACAACAACATTTTTTTTAATTATTCTGGCCTGGTATTGCAATACCACAACATAACTAGTATCCTGTACGTTCGAATTATAAAACATTGACGACTCTCTAAGCTTCAATTCAATTCAAAAATTATAATAGAAAGAAAAGCTTTTCAAAATCATTATCGGTTACATAAAATTTTATACTAAGATATTCTTATGATTCTCCATATTAGTCAATTCTGGGCAAGTGGTAAGCTATAAATAAATGTCTTAAGGAGAACACATTACGCTTTGACAAATAAAATTCCCATTTAAATAATAAAAATATCAAAATATCAATTGGAACAAAAACTTATAATGGAGGGAGTGGAAAAAGCAAAGTGGCACAATGGCCTGACCCGTACGGAAAAGATATACTTTACTCACTAGTACTAAAAATAGCAATCGGTTTTGAATTACAGTTCATGACAAAATGGTGAACAATCAGATTTCAATCATTAATGTAAATACTTGTCTCATTTTTGATTATATCATTTGAGGTTCGTCGTCTTTTCCAGCATTAAAATACAATACGTATTGGGTAATTTTCACCGGCCGGTGCCAATCTAACATTTGATATTTCTTTAAAAAGTAATAAAATTCACGCTAAAAAGCTCAGGGTTAGGCACAGCATTTTTTAATCGAAAAGACCGAAATAATATGACCAAAGGAAATCCCTAGGCAAATGATTATGTCCAAAATTTTGTTATACCTTCGGATATATAATTAGTATGTATTTTATGCCACAAGTTTAATAAACGATACTTTAATCACGAGTTTGATTTGGCACTAGCAGAGCAGGTGCTTAATAAACGAATGACTGAAGAAGTTTATCAACGTGTTGAATACTATATCTTTTCGACGACAATTATTAGTACACTTTTTCAAAACCCCACTGATGTATTCGAACGGCAATTTTGGTTGTTGAACGATGCTACAGCTTATTGGTTGGAAACGAAATATCAAATAACCGCGCATGCGCTTCAAAAGTTGCCGTATTATAAACATGAATCAATCCTATATGGTGGACTCGAGACCATGCTTAACGTTAATGCGTTACCGAGGAGGATGTCATAATAAATGCCACTTTGCGTGTGCTTGATCAGTATTTGCGTTATTTTATGACACTTTGTAGGTTTCTTAGTAGATGACGCTAGTAATCCCAAAAACAAGAATTTATCGCACTCTTTGTGAATCACATTTGTGAAAGTTAGCCATATAAAATATATACTATATTATATATATAATATATACTATATAACTCTGTGGATAATCTACATAAAACTTTATGTTTGCAATAATTATAGTTAGATAGATTTCTTTATTTTATTTGTTGATGAGACACATATTTTGAACCGCTTCTGTCTGAGAATTTCAGGCAAAACCATATAGCGATTAGATAAAATATGGTGGTCCTACTTCAGTAATAATTGTTGCGCCGCAAACGGTATTGATGTTTTCGTAAAGAAGGGAATAATCATTTCACCCACTAACCTGCATTTTGCGGTATTTTCTTTCTATACGATTTTCACAAACATCACCTTTCCAGAACGTTTAACGAGATCTAGGCATATTTTGAGAAAATACTGCTGTAAAAATAGACATCCAAACTTGACATATGAAGTTGTACCTTCTGAAAAATGTTTTCATAGTTGCGTCATAAGTTCCGATATTATTGACTTAGACGGGCCCTCTCTATATATCTCTAATAGCTAGATGGGCAAAATCCTAGTTACTGATTGAGAACGAAAATTTATAGAAATTTGCTAGATCGTTAATTATTTCTGACTCAAGTTCTTATGAAAATTTTGAAAGCTGCAATCTGATCTTTCGAACTGCTAGTAGTAAGTAAATTCAAAAAATCTGTATGGAATAACAATTTTTTGGTAATTATAAAATATATATAATATTAATATGCTATATATAACACTAAAGAAAACAAAAAAATAGTAACGCAAAACTAAAAAAGAGTGTATAATTTATTTTTCAAAGATATTAACTTGCTAGTTGATAGTTTGACGATGGCAATGCGGCTAGGTTTTTTATTTGAAAATTCTAATATTTCTGCAACAATAACAGCTATTGATGAAGACCCTGAATACCTGATATAAAATTGCTGTTTACCTGGTTAGTTTCGAAATCTAATTGCAGCATTAAATACCACAAAAACAGGAACTGAAAATTTTTAGGGGGTTAATTGGGGTGGAGTTTTATGCCACTTATTTTTAAATTTATTTTGATATAGGATACAAATTGTAGCCATTTTTCACAATATTTGCAATCTTTTTAATTAAATTAATTAATTAAAGTCCTTCACCCTCCACTACAGATTACACTATCCAGTAAAATAAAAGTGACAAAGTGTAAAATTTTTGAAGAAAATGCTTTGAAAGTGTATGGTTATTTATTGTCTACCTTTTCCACTTTCTGTTATTAATTTTTCTATTTTTTTTAACAGTGTAGTGTAGTGTGTAGGATATTTTTTAAAGAATGCACCTTTTAAGTATAATTAATCAAAATACAATGTGTTTACAAATTTTTATTTGGTGTCAAACATTATTACTAATCAAATGGATCATAAAAATATTTGATTTATTGGTTCTACTGAGATACTGCTATAGTGTTTGTTAAATCTGAGTTTGCAGAACTATCGTTTTTCACATTTACTGGTACTTGGTGCCCTTTTTTATTTTGATGCTTTTTTAAACTTCCTCGATCATGATATCCATTATTACACACTTCACAGAGATAAGGTGATTCTCCAGTATGAATTCGCAAATGAATCTGGAAAATAATTGCTGCATAAATACATTCTCAGCTAAGAAAAAGATAAGCCATAAAAAGATCATTACCTTCCAATGAGATCTATAGTTAAAACATTTTCTACAGTAAATGCATTCATAGGGTTTCTTTCCTGAATGTAATCTCTTGTGTACTTCCATGTAGGCTTTGGTAGTAAAAAATTTGAGGCAAACATCACACTGGTGTGGTTTGGGTCTTCTGTCTAGATGATTAAGGGCATGTCTATCCAATGATCCTTTTTGTATGAATTTTTTTCCACAGTTATTGCAGGTAAATGGTTTTTCTCCTAAAACATACATAACAATAAATTCAAAAGCAAATGATTTATTTCATTTCATCATTATACCTGTATGCACTCTTAGGTGGTTATCTAAATTTGCTTTAATATAAAAACTTTTGCCGCAATAATCACATAAATATATTTTATTTGATTTGTCAATTGTTGTAGGTCCATTCTTTTTATGACTAATAAGCCTTCCATTATGCTTTCGCAAATGCTTTTCGTACCCAGACCTGCTTGCATATGTTTTGCCACATTCATCACAGCTCAAGTTCAATCGCACTCTCTTTTCTGTATAACAGTCTTTTTTTGTCACTAAACCAAGGGCTAACTTGTGCCTGTAAATATGGATATACAGCTTTGAATGAAATTTAAATTTCTTGCCACAATAGGTACAAACATATGGAGTTTTGCCACTATGGATATTCATATGTTCAGCTTTCTGCCTCTGAGTTCCGTATTCTATATTTTTCAGTAAAAAAAGAATTATAAAAATTTCATGTAACCTAAAATAATTAATGGCAATATCATACCTTTATTGCACACTTCACATTTGTGAATTCTAAAAGTGTGTGGCCTACATTTTTGTTGTTGCACATAGTGCTTTCCTAGGGTAGATTTATTTTTAAACAACTTTTTGCAATTTTTACAAAATATATTAACTGTTCTATCATCTTCTAGCAGAGTAGTTTTTTGGATGTGCTTTTTGTCAGGTTTAACATCAGTAACTTCACATACTTCAGTTTTTAATTCATGAAACATATCAGATACATTATCATTGATATCTTCAAATTCTTTATTACGTAAAATCTTTGCTAATTGATCATTAGCTTCCTTACACCTTCGAATGTAGAGAAGTATACCCTCTATCTGTTTTGCACAAGTATTACAAATAATTTTGGGAAAATGGTCATCTTTTTTTGCCTACAAGCAAATTTATATAGGTAAAGTTTAATTTACTTAAATACTGGTAGACCCGTTTTGTCTACTTACTGGAAGTTCGAGAAAAGTCAAAAACCTAGCTATATTGTCCTGAAAAATTGATTGTCCATCATTTGAACTATGTAAGCATAGGCGACAAATCTGAGAAAAATTTTCAAAAGTTGGGATAACATCCATGGTCTCCCTGTGGTTACAAAAAAATACCACGAATTTCTTTATTGGTTTACCATCGTCCTTGAAGTGGTTATTTATTTCCAAGGAAGGAAAAAAAACATATAGGATTTTGAACTTTCATTGAAAATATTGAGAACCCAAACAGGCTTTTAAATTTCTTGTTCATTAATTATATATTTTCTTCTTCTCCAAATTGGACAGAATAATGGACAAAGAACCACTATCTCTCTCCCATTCTGGTGTATTCTTGGGAATTTTTGTTTCCAATATCTAAAATTTCCAAGTTACCAATTTTGCCTAATTTGATTTTTCCTTGGATTGAAGTGTCAACATAAACATGTTTACAGAGGCAAGGGAAGGTAGCAAATTTAAAGAAATTAAGTTAGAGTAAAATTGAAAAATAGCTGCGGCATATCTCTATTTTGAATACTCGTTTAAGATGAATGAACATGTAAACATCACTTACAAAGACTTTCCATATATTTGTCGTATCTGTTTGACTGTGGGAGATTTGAAACCAATAGTGGATTCTACAAGCCTGAAAATTTTTAATATTGTGACTGAAATCGAGGTAATGCTTTATACTTATGATTTTATAGTTTGAACTGCATATTTTCATGCTAGATTAAGGAAGATGATGACCTTCCAAAGAATTTGTGTGTGCAGTGTATGCAGTTTCTCCATGATATTTTAGATTTTGCAAATAAGTGCAAAAATAGTGATGGTCTTTTGAAATCAGCATTGGAGAAAGAAAAAAATAAAGATTGTATGTATGTATATGTTAGTTAACTTTTGTATCAAATTTGTTATTTTGCAGATAAATCAGATTCCAATGACAACTTTGATGAAGATTATCAATGTGAAGATGATGATGAAGACGATGAAGTAAAATCTGAAGATTTAAATTTCCATATTAAGGAAGAAGATGATGACTGGAACTGCAAAAAAATTGTCAAAAAGAAACGAGGTAGAAAGAGAAAAGTTCTAAAGGAAAAACCAATACGCCAGGCTCGGAAAAGAGGGCCAAAACCCAAGCATATTGACTCAGAGAATGAAGAAAATCTAGATGATTCCAGCAGCAAAATACCAGTGTGTTCTGCATGCTGTAATACATTTACCAGTAAAGCAAAATTATGTCAACACTACAAAGAAAATGAGTCATGTCGTCCAAAAAATTTCAAGTTATTTAAATGTGAAGTCTGTGAAAAGGGTTAAACATCTCTCTTTTAATAATTGATTGTTGCTCTGATAATTAGTATTTTAGAATTTTCAACAATAAGAAGAAGAAATGAACACATGAACATCCACACAGGTGAAACCCCATACATTTGTACTTACTGTGGAAAAGGGTTTCAGTTATATCCAGCACACTTTAAACACGTCTATAGGCATCGTTTAGCTCTTGGAGAAGTTGAACTAAAGCCAGGCTATACTGAAAAACGGGTCCGGCTAAATTTAAAATGTGACCTGTGCCCTAAAGTATTTGCAAGCAGGTCTGGATTTGCAAATCACCTACTAATTCATCAAGGTGTGAAAATACAATACAAAAAAAGGACTAAGAAAGAAGGAGAGGTTAAATTGAAAAATTACCTTTGCAACTACTGTGCCAAAAGTTTTCATACAAAGGTGCAGCTCGATGGGCACATTAGGGGCCATACAGGTATAGATTTGTCAATTAATTTTAAAACATATTTTTACATGTTGTTTTTAATTAGGAGAAAGACCTTTCAGTTGCAGTTTCTGTGGTAAATATTTTAAAACAAAGGCAGCTCTGAAAACCCATGAGCAAAACCATCTTGGCACCACCCCAAAGAGATTCGAGTGCGATATTTGCAACAAACCGTTTTCTTTAAAGGCCCATTATGAAGTGCACAAAAGGACCCACACCGGTGAAAAACCATTTTCGTGTCATTTTTGCGGAAAATGTTTTAACTATAGGGGGACTTGGAGAGTGAGTTTTCCGGCTTCTACAGATAAAAATAACATTCAATTATTCATAAAATGGTTATTTTTACACAAACTAACCTTAAATTCCTTTTAGATACATCTAAGGATACATACGGGTGAAACACCTTATGCCTGTCCCGTGTGTGGTAACAGATATCATGATAAAAGCAGCCTAAATAAACATCAGAAAAAAAAGAACCATGAGGGTAAAGCTATTGTCCAAGAGAAACTTTTACTCTGATAGATACAGATTATATATTTTGAAAACAATAGAAGCAGGTGAAGGTGAAAGTGATGGTGTAATTGTAAATTAATGTGTGCTTGTAGATAGTTTCTAGTAATTATTATTAAGGAGAACTTATTGTTATGTGCAGTGAGTTTAGTGAATAAAATTAATGTGATAAATCAGATATTTTATTCTAACATTAGAATTATTTTAATGTTAAGGGTGCCGGGAGAAGGATATAAAACAGTTGTCTTTTGAGAATCATAAAGTAATTCGGATTGTCAATGCTGTGTTGGTAGCTGTTGGTTAGTAACTAAGCTAGTGGCTAAAGTCTAAGGTGATCAGATTTTTAGATGGGCAAAGCGCATATAGCTACTAAACACAGACTGCTTATGCTGACAGTACAGGAACTCATAAAGCAACAATGTAATTTTTTTTTAGAAGGTACATTCAACGTGCTCGTGCGCGAGATTTAAAATTTCTTTTTTAACCAATGGCAGCACTAATGACAAATTCTGAGGTAGGACCTATAAGACCTTGCCACTTTCAACAAATAACATGTCCTCTGACAGATCGACGATGTTTGGATGCGGCATTTTGACAGCAGTATTGTCTCAAAATATGTCGAAATCATATTAAATTTTCAGGCAAAGGAGTTGAGCTCTGGAAAAGCAGTGCAGAATTGCAGTATCCACGTCGGCCGGTATAATTCTGTAATTAATTTGGTGTTTTTGTTCTTCAAGCCCTGTAGATAGGATGCAGTTTCTATATGTAAAGCGTTAGTTTTCATAAACTCATAGGTTTAACCTCCATTGAAGTAACTTTGAGATGCAAGATATCGCATGTGAAGCATCTAAGTGAAAAAATGTTGAAAAAGCACCTCCTATAGACAGTAATTAACAAGGGATATTTCTTATGTTTGTTCTAATAAAAAGTAAACTTTTAGCTTATTTGCTTTCTTGTATTTATAAGAAGGCTTTTAAATATTCTTTTGATAGTTGCCAGAAGAGCTAACCAAGGCGTTATACTGTATCCAAGTATTTTCGTATATTCAATTTCCGCAGTTTCACAAAATTCTTTAAGTCAGGACCTTTGAAAAACGTTGCGGAACGCGGGACAAATTGTGAAAAATCGGGACTGTCCCGCCAAAAGTGGGACGTTTGGTCACCTTACTTAAGTACTTTGAAAGTATTTAACCATTAGCTTTTCTCAAGTAATCCTGCACTGATTAATTGATACATTTTTTTAAGTATCCCAAAAGTTCAAATTTTCAAAAAGTTAATTAAAACATTTACCAACCACCATCAAGTAAAATTCCAAACTAGAGTTTTTTTTTGGGTTAATCTACGGGCATATCCATATATTTTTTCGGAATCCGCTGGGAGAAAAAGCTGACCGATAACAATTTGATAATACTGTAGTTCACGCATACAGACTCATCTAAATAAGTGTTTATCATGGGTAACTTTATTATGATTTGAGATACAAAGTCAGTTCAATTAACAAAGTAGTGGCAATTTTTCCACTGATTACGATAGTGGAAACAGAAAAACAATTGCATGCAGGGTTTAGAAAAAAATGAGGTAAATGTATTTTTTTTAAATGGAACACCAACAGAACAAAAAAGGTCAAGTTTGCTAAATTAACCGACTTTGTATCAACTCATAACAGCGTTAGCAATAATGAACCCTTAATTAGTTTTGTTTCCAGTTTTCCCATAACTTGTCTTTGTTTAAGCTGTACTGTAACAACTTGAAGGGACTGAACCTGTATTTAGTGATATATGATGTTTGTAGCCAATTTGGCACTGTACAAAAGTGAGGCACGGCGGTGTATAGAAAATAATGATTTATGAGCGTTTATTATAAAATATAAATTATTCTAAGTAAAATGTGTTTTTTTATGATAATCCCTTGAAATAATTAATTCAAGAAATTTGAGGTAGGCGCTCACTTTTGGGGCTTGCCTAAATTAATCCAGTTTATGTTTTAAGGAGAGGTACCGCACGCACCATCCATTGCCTCGACTAATTAGTTTCAGGATTTCGCCAAACATCGCGCCACAATCGCATGAGCGCCAGCTATTGGGGCTTGCCTACACTAATTAGTTCCATGGGGACGACATGGTAGTAACCATGTAGGTATTAGATAATATAATGCGGTAAAAATTGATGCCCGTGGGTACCATTGACATTTTCGTAGAGAAGGAAATGTTTTTTTTGCGCATGCTTCAACAGTTTACCCACTAACCTGCACTTTTGTGCCATTTTTTTTCTAAACAGCGATTTCTACACACTTAACCAACTTTCCCAGAAAATTTAAACCGATCTCGGTATATTTTGAGAAAATACTATTGTAAAAATGACGAATCGAAACTTTTAACACTTAGTTAAGCTTCAGTTAAGCCAACAAGATAATTTATCAACTACCGACGCAAGATGAATCCAGAAAATTTGTAAATACTATTACGTTGGCTTAAACCTTCTCAAAAATGTTTTATAGGTGCTTCATAAGTTCATGTATTACAATGCACTATATATCCTACTAGCGATATGGTGGCATCCAAAAACTATAACACACACGCAACTTAACTCAATGATAGTTAAGTAAACAACTTATTTCCAGCAGTTTAAAGAACGCTTACTGCTGGAATTTGACCGAAATATGGCAGCGTTTGTGCGAAGTAACTATCCTCTTTTTGTCTTTACTCGTTTTACTTTCAAAAGTTAGACACGGAGATTGGCGATGCACTGCTCATGCTAAACTGGCGGAAATATATCACTAATGTAATTATCCTTAATTATTGGTTTTTTATTTACTATTATTGGTTTGATTGTTCTTAGACCTTTGCATACATATAAAAATACTATATTATGCAATAAGTGAGGTAAACGGCATTTTGATTCATGAGTTTATTTGACACGACCGGGGCGCAGCGGAGCTAGTGACTTAAAAAGTGTGCTGAACGTGTTGCATACTATACTTTTTCCACGACCGTTAGTTTTTGGGAACATTTTCGCAAAACAACACGAACACACTGACATGATCATCAGAATTGACAAACCTCAAAATTCAAAGGGTGGGAAATATCTCCAAAACATCCGATTGCTCCCAAACCCGTACGGTAAAATGCCAGAAATGTTCGAAGTGGCTCGCTTCCGTGGCAAACGAAACTGACGTGGTAAAGTGACGCTTTCCGCACGTTAGATGGGAGTGTAATTAGGTATTTTACAGACGGGAGTAGAAAATAGTCTTTATGCAACAAGTGCGGTAAACATCATTTGACTCATGAGTTTATTTGACACGAGCTGAGCGCAGCGGAGCGAGTTTTTAATAAATGAGTGAGTTAAAAAGTTTACCGAAGGTGTTGCATACTATACGTTTTCTATGACCTTCGCTTTTGGGTACATTATCGCAAAACAACACGAATACATTCACTGACATGACCGTCAGAATTGACAAAAGTCGAAATTCAAACCGTGAGAAATATCTCCGAAAATATCCGATTGCTCCCAAATCCGTGCGGTAAAATTCCAAAAATGTCCGGCTCGGATACATGGGAAACGAAACTGACGTGGTAAAGTGACGCTTCCCGCACGCTAGATCGGTGGGTAATTAGGTATTTTACAGACGCGAGTAGAAAAAAAAATATTCCCCTGCTACCCTGAAATCTCGACGGCTGTTTTTTGCCTGATTACCAGCGTCATCCTTCCCTAGGAAACATTTGCTTTGGTTTCTTCTTTTACTTCTGTTAGCCAGGTCTGCTAGGATCATTCGGCCAAAGCTTTTGCTTTGATTAGCCTCTCACTCCTTCTCCTTTACTTCTATTGACCTAAGCTGCTAGGATCACTCGGCCACTTACGAATATGGTTCAACGTTTACCTAATAATCTGGAGGGTGCCTTAATTAAAAGGGACTGGACGGTCCATCACCTTCCGAGGGAAACGGAAACGACACTTGGAACAGTTTGACCCGATTACAAAAAAGGTCTCCCCGCTACCCCTGTCGACCAACCGGGCCCATCCGGCTTACATATCGGCGTGAAAACCGAAAGGGCCGACAACGATTATAACTTTAAAACGTTCACTAAACACTGAACGCTAAATCCACCACAGAATCGGTTAACCTCTCAAGTTTAACGCTTTTCCCTATCGACATCATAGAATGAATAATAAAGATTGTTTGTTTTTATTAATTCGAAAATGGAACTAAGCAAGTGTCAATACATAACTGAAAAGTATTTTATTTTTTGGAAGGCGTTTCTAATGTTTCATTTTTTGCACATATTCAATAAAAAATAGCTGCAATCTGATACCGCGTTGTTCAAAATTGCCCCTGAAGAATATGCTGGAATACATTTTGCCATATAAGTTGTCTTAAATTAATCAAAAATAATAATTATGCCTTTTAAACTAAAGCTAAAGAAGTCCAAACACTACAGTGTAGTTTCAAAAAGCTTGTTTGTTATTTCAGTCGAAAATCTAGATGGAACGACAGTGGAATGTACATTATCCTCTGATAGCACTGGTCAGGACTGTCTAGATGTGGTGTGCCAAAAGCTAAGCTTGAATCAACCCCACTTTTTTGGACTACAATACATTAGTCTAAATTGTAATAGCAACTTATGTTGGGTAGAATTGGATCGTCCAATTAAAAGACAGTTAGACAAACATGCAAGGGGTCTTTGTGTATATCTAAGGGTGATGTATTATGTTATTTCTGGTGTTTTTCTCATAACAGATGAAGTTACCAGGTATTATGATTTGTTTTATATTTTATTTTGTTTTATGTGAGTTCTTTCAGATACCATTACTTTTTACAATTAAAACAAGATGTAATAGAGGGTAGAATTTCCTGTACTCCCCGCCAGGCTATAGAATTGGCAAGTTATTCAATGCAGGCAGAATTTGGAAACTTTAATGCGGAACGGCATACTTCTCACTATTTAAAAGATTTTCAGCTGTTTCCTAAGGTTGTATTTCTCTTGCTGTTCATCAATGTCATGTGTTCTTAAGCATTACTTACTGATTTCAGAGTGTTGTTGATCCTGGGTTATTAGAATCTCTAACTGAAGCTGCAAGTCGTCAACATGCTGCTCTTCTCAATGTACCTCAAGGCACGGCTGAGGAATATTACATATGCGCTTGTCAAAAATTGGAAGGTTATGGGCAAGAAGAATTTAGTGTCACAAACAAGGAGGGTGTGCATGCTATCTTGGGCATTGGATTAACAGGCATTACTGCAACATATCATGATCAAGATATTAGACATTTTCGGTATATATCTGCCATTCTGCCACATCTGCCATATAAATCTTATATGCTGTGTTGTAGATGGTCAGACATCAGTAATGTAATAAATCACAAACGTGAATTCACAATTGAATCAGTGGGTGGTGGAGATAAAGTTGAATTTGTGTTCAATGATGTTGATAATGCAAAAAGTGCTTGGAGATTTTGTGTACTACAACATATGTTCTTCCGACAGTATGAAATGAATATTGGAAGTGACTTGACAGACAGGTCTCTTCCGCAACCCCCAACCTTCCATCAAGCTTTTAGTGAAGTGAGAACAATGTTATATTTTTCTTATTAATAATTGTCTCCGAGAAAGGTTTTGAAACAAAAAATAATATCAATAATGATAACTGTACAGTTTATTTTTGGAAGGTTTGCATAAATTACAAGGTCTAAGTCAATAGGTAAATCAGGTGTGAAATCTGGTCTGAGAGTTGTTTGAAACTGCTTTTTAGTTATAATTTCAACTATCGTCGTAATTATTGTTAAAAGATATTTGTTTTATAATATTTTGAAAAAAAAAAGAAATATTATAAAACAAATAGCTTTGAACAATGGTTGGGGTCGTCTTTGGTAGATGAGATTATAACTAAAAAGCAGTTTCAAATAACTCAGAACTCCACCTATCCCATATTAAAGACCGAACCAAAAATTTATAAAACAATAAATACATACGAGAACCTAGCAAGAAAATTTCAAAACATCTATCTAAATTTGGTCTTAAGACTGCTTTTAAAAATAAAAACACCATAGGACATTATGAAGAACTCAAAAATCCGGAGTCTACAGGTTGAAATGTGGTTCATGTCCCAAAATTTATATCGGACAAACAGGTAGAACATTTAAGAAACGCATTAACGAACAGAAAAGGACATATCAAAATAAAAGTTCGAATTCTAACTACGCCATTCATTTAAATTCAGAAATGTACAAGTTTGACGATAATTTTGATGTTTTACATAATCAATCGAAAAGCAAAAATTTAGTTTGTTGGAAACTATGGAAATTAACATAATGAGATACTTGAATCTATTACTTAATGACCAATTGGATTTGTTAAATTTAAATTTATAACCCTACACCGGATATTAAAAATCTATTACTACCTGTTTATATATATAGGTGTTGAACATTGTCATATTTTGTATTTGATAAAGGCATGCTGTTGCCGACAGCGCTGTCATAAATCTTTAAATAACTGTGAAAATCTGAACATTTTTTGTTCTAATTTATTTGTGAAATATTTTCATGCTGGCGTTGAAAATTTTGAATTTATTAATTTAACACCGGCACTTTTTAAAAAGAGGCTTCAAGTGTCAATTTTTTTCTTTATTTTAATAGTTTTTTAATTATGACACAAACATTTTCTGCATAAGCTTAAAATTGTTTTCCAATAACGAATTTTTTAATTTTAACAATGTGCCAAATTTCATTATCTGTTTATAGGATAAACTGCGACAGATAGAGAGTCAGGAAGATATAAAAAGTGCCTGTCACTTATGGGACAGGCAAATAGTATCGTCCACACATAAATTGTCACAGAGAGCTCAATCCACTTCTTGTTTGGATTTAAATAAACCAACAGATATAGATCACCTACGTAGCTTGTTGCCTTCTTATCGTCCAGCCCCTGATTATGAGACTGCTATTCAACAGAAGTACAGAAATTCTTCGAGTGCCATAGCTTCACGGGAACCTCTTCAAAACACTCATTCAATATTGTATAGTTCACAGCCCGAGATACATCAAATCGAGGCGTACTCAAATCACCTGCGGTACCCAGACGTGACGCACAACAATATCGAACCAAAAAACTTATTGTATAATTCTGGATTTACACAATCCCAGATATTAGTCACTGAAAACCAACACCCGGCGATGATGCATCTATTTAAACATCCCCCACCTTACCCTTCTACCAGAATAAGTTCAAATTCCACACCCGACCTAGCTGGAATCTCTCAACAAACCAAACTGCCTCTCCATTTTGTTAATAATTTAGTAAGCGGCTCCAGTCCAGATTTGGTATCTGGCGGGAATTTATATTTAAAACATTACAACGAAATGTATCAACATCATCAGGCGCATCCCATTCACCGTTCTCAAAGTTATTTACCGCCGCAACATGGAACGTATGAAAATCTGGCTTCCATATTCAATAACAACATGTTAGGAAGACCCCAAGCGGTCATAGTGGAAAACCCGAATATTACTAAACATATTAAAAAGGTGTATGACGAACACGGAAATATAATTTACTGTATGCCCGCGAATATGAAACAAATTCTACAAGATAATAGGATTTGCGGCGACACTACAGGCTTTGTAGTGACTCGAAATCAGAACCCGACAGTGGCCGCCCACGACCCGCGCTTGAATGATTCATCCGAGCCCATATATGAAAATATACCTTTGCCATGGCAAAACGATGGAGAGATGCGCAGTAGAACGCAAAGCATCCATTCTGCGCCGGAGATAAGTCAGGTTATTAACCAAACCATTGTTAGTAGTATGCAATCCCAATTGCAGCAAATGCGGATAGGTAATAGTAAGGAAAATATGTACGCCAACATAAACCACGGGGATGTTAGTGTAAATTCGTCAAAGTCTGAATTGAATCCGAACTCTAGCGTGAGTGATACCAGTAGCGTTTTGAACAGATCGTTACAAAATCTGAACGCATCTCAAACATCGTCTGGCGAATCAATTTTACCACGACCAGACTTAAATAACGCAAATAAGAATTTATCGAATTTAACGATATTAAGTGATAACTCTGTTGCTGATCATTGCAGTACCCTTAATGAGTCCACCTTTGCCGATTCAAGTTCCAACTCTCATAGCAGCTCTAATAAAAAAAAGAAAAGGTGGGGAATTTTGATAGGCAGGAGCAAATCTGGAGAGAAGGAGAAAAGTGCAACTTTAGGTAGGGAGAAAAAGAAGGAAAGTGTAAATCAAGGTCGTAATAAACACAGATGGTCTACCGCCCTACCCAGATTTAATCCTCTTCCCCCGTCTATTAGCAAAGAAACAATGGTAAGTTGCTGGGATATGTATAATTTTCAGATGATTCCATTAACATTAACTTAATGTTTAGAGAACCAACATATTCGTGTTCTAAAGGCACACAAATTTAAAATCGTTCTTGCGAAAATATAACTAACCAAAACTTGTTATTAGTTATATTATGTTAAATCGGGAGTGGAATTTTTCACATTCAGACAATTCTTTCACGTTGCTAATAATAATAGGGTTACCGGGAAATAATGTCGTTTTTTATCATTATTTTTAAACTACATATATTTTTGTTTGGTTTTATTTTTAATCAATAACATAATTCCCATCATTGTCGATCACTTTTTGCCATCTTTTTAATAAATATTCAATGTCCGATTTGAAAAAATTAATTGGTTGATTGTTAAAGTAAGTGGAGAGGACATTTTTGATTTGGCGCAATGTCAGGTGAGCATGGATGAGGTAGTAGCTCCCAACTCCGATCGTTAATTTTTTCAACTTCTTCAACGTCTTCTTTGTGCTATGCGGTCTGTTTACCAAAACTGGACATTGAGGTCAGCGTCGAATGTTTGTCCAGGTTTCAGAACTTCAAAGTGTATAATTCCGCGAATAATCCACCAAACACACAAGAGCGCCTTGCTTGGGTGAAGGCCCGGTTTCGCAGTCGGTTTTGGTGTTTCATTTGGGGACAGCCATTGTCTTTTGCGATTCGGATTGTCATATAACACGTGTTTCTCATCCCCTGCAATGGACCGGTCCAAAAACCCTTCCTTTTTGTGCCTTCCTAGCAATAAGTTGCAAGTGGTAGTCCAATTAGTTTTGTTTACTTCGGTTTAAGTCATGCGGATCCCAACCGCCAAGGATCTGCTTCCACTTCCGCCTTTAATAGATCATTATCAAAAACGACATTAAGTTTCCGGTCCCCCTATTACATATTCTATTGCGAAAAGAGATTTAACAATTCTAATCGATTGACTTGTTTGGCAAGTACCCTTTACAAAACCAATAGAGTTTTAGATGTTTAGATGTAAGAATAGTAAAAAGTAGTAAAGAATAAATTGTGAGATATTTGTGTCCATACAAGTATCTTTGTTGATGGGAAAAGTAGCTTCACTTCCAATGTTGGTTTGCAGTGTCAGCTTCTAGAAAACAAGTTAGCAGACAGTCAATTGTTCTTCGAGTTTGATAAAATACCTAAGAAGAAACCAAATGCGGATTTTACAACTGCTTTACTTCCCGAAAATGCAGCTTTTAATCGATTCAAGGACGTTCTTCCATATGAAGACAATAGATTAAGACTGACTCCAACAAAGAACAATCGATATGGTTACATCAATGCATCTCACATTACGGTAAGGATGTACATGTAGGATGTAGTCTTTGAGTATGCAATATACGGCATTTCGAAAATTAATGACGCAATCAAAATATAAATATTGCCACCAGCTGGTGCATGTTCAATAATAATTTTATGTGCATTGAGGGTGGGTAAAAAATGTAAATTAACCTTCTAAGTCTATTATAACATTATATAAGTTATGCGGCAATAGTGTTTGTTTTTAGCATTATTACTAGATTATAATAAATATTTAAAACATTTACCGATTGCAACATAACCGTTCAATATTGCAGTCTCAAATATAAATTGTTTATTATAATAATATAAAAATTAAAAGTTCCTGCACAACAGAAAAAAATATTAATTTCATTTAGCGATTTACAGAATTCACAAAAAATTGGTTATTTTTTTAATATATGAAAAAGCCTCAAGATACAAGTTTCTAAACAAATCAAAAAAAGGATTTTGAAATAGGAACGCCGATTCCTAATTCGAGCTAGTTATCCTAAAAACTGCACGAGTTACAAACTAAAAAATTCTGTAAATTTCGACACGTTAGATTGCTAATGACGCATTTGCGAAGCTATGGTCATATGGAGTTTTAGGAGTTTTAGCCATAAAATAAGCCAAGGAATTTCTCTTTACCTTTAGGATTATTTTAATTGGCATATTTTCAATATTTCACCTCCTTAAAATTAATTTTTGCTACGTGTTTGTTTATATTACGCATATTTTGCCTAGTAATAACTTTTCTAATTGAATGAATTTTATGAGATTAAACTGCTTTACTCTATATTTTTCTCATATTTTTTAATTTTTGTTTGACCATACCTGAACATAATTATCATACATGGAAACCTATATCCAATTTCGGGCAATTTCTGTATTTTTCAATTAAATTTCAAAGTCTTTATTAGTGCCTGATTGTTATTGTACCGGGTGGCCCGTTTAAGAGGCCCTATAGCTTATCTCGAAACCTACAGGGATTCCAAAAAAAATTAAAAACAAAAGTTGTTTCTATTAAAATAACCTTTTTTTTATTTTAATAATCGTGACTATTTTATATACAGGTTGGTAAAACAAAGTTAAATTTTTTTAAATAGAACGCCTTACATTTTATTGCATTTTTGGATAGTCCTTTCAAAGACAAATTCAACGATACATATGAGTAGGGGTCTATGATGCACCGTTTCGAACTTATTAGCGATCATCTTCAGAATTCGGGTTATTTTGATAAGCCATCATTGTTGGGTTGCTTATTTACTTTTTAAACTTGTTTGCATCTATTACTTTTTCTAAAATAATGCTTTTCTTTAGGTAATGATCAAATTTTAAATATTCTCTTAAAACACGCGGTGTTGCCGCGTTTCGCAAAATGATACTTTTTCATTTTTCAATTATATAACATAGTACGGGTCTCTGACTTACCGTTTTGGTTCCATTTGAAAATTTTCAATAATACTTAAATGGAAAAAGCTTTTAAAAATATTCATATTTTTAATAATATAGACTACATGTCTTTAAAAAATATATAGAAACCTGTCTGTTGAAAGACACAAACACAAAATTAATAATATTATTAATCTTGACCTTTTTGATATAATCAAATTTCCCCATAGGCGATTGCCAGAGAAAAATTTTTTTGCCAAAATACCGAAATGCCGAACGGTTTTGGATGAAAATATGCAGCTAGATAGTCTTCTGCATTTTGAAAATACTCCAGAGACCTCCAGCCGCCTTGCCGCTTCATATGTAGACGTAAGACGAACCATACTTCAAACATGTTTAAAAATTAGCAGTTAAAATTCACACCAGTACAAAAACTACAAAAATACTTAATACCAACGAATCAATATTTACAACGTCTGAAGTGTTATTTAATTGAAAAACTACGCATTATTGGATTTCAAAAAAAATGTTTTCGAAGTAAACAAGCAGGGGCGAAGATCCGTGAAAGTATGGTGCGCAATCTGGAGATCTAGAATTTTAGGACCCATATTTTACCAACAAAATTTAACATCGCTAAGATATTTAAACTTATTAAGAAACGAAATTCGGCCACTTATGCATAATAATATTCCTCAAAGAGAGCATCCAAATTTAATTTGGCAGCAAGATGATGCTCCTTTTTTAAACGAAAATTTCAGAGAATGGATTGGCCAAAACGGAACCATCTCCCGATCAGCAAGGAGTCCAGATTTGACACCGATGGACTTTTTTTGTGGGGTACATTGAAAGATATGGTTTACAAAGATAAAGCGTCAACAGTTTTTGAAGTGCAGCAACGAATTCACGCGGCAATACACTATCTGAATGAAACGAATTACGTCTCAAATGCCATATACAATTTAGAAATAGCATATGCTACTTGTATTCTTCAATATTTTGAAAAACTAATTTAATTTTACTTATAAGTAATATTTCACCTAGACATTTAAACGTAGAAATAAGTAATTTGCGAAATTCGGCAAAATTGTGCAAAGCTTAATATTCTGTTTTTAATATGACTTCCTAACAATGCTCTAAAACGGTTGTGAACGAATTGATTGATTGACAAATTCCCAATTTCTTATCTTAATAATTTAAATCTTATACCCAGTTTTAATTTTATCTACCAATTAAGCCAAAGCGGTAAGTCAGGGACCCGTACTGTGGTATATAATTGGAATCGTTATTAAGGTGGCTATTCGAAAATCCAATAAAATACAGGGTGTCTCATGTAATAAAATTGAGAAAAGTATCATTTTGCGAAACGTGGCAACACCGCGTATTTTAAGAAAATATTTTAAATTTTATCATTCCCTAAAGAAAAGCATTATTTTCGTAAAAATAATAGATGCAAAAAAGTTAATAAGCAACTCAACAATGATGGTTTAAACATAACCCGACTTCTGAAGACGATCGCCAATAAGTTCGAAACGGTGCATCACAGAGCCATACTCATATATATCGTTGAATTTGCCTTTGAAGGACTATCCAAAAATGCAATAAAATGTAGGGTGTTCTATTTAAAGAAGTGTAACTTTGTTTTAACATCCTGTATATAAAATAGTGACGATTAGGGAAAAAATTAAGGTTATTTTAATAGAAACAACTTTTGTATTTATTTTTTTTTTGTAATCCCCGTAGTTTTCGAGATAAGTTATAGTCCCCTCTTAAACAGATCACCCTGTACATATTTTTGCCTAATTCTATCAGTATTGTAGGCTACCGTGGGAAGCAAACAAAGATTTTATATTGCCGCTCAAGGACCTACCAGGGTGACCTTACCCTATTTTTGGCAATGTGTTTGGGAAGCGGAAGTTTACCTTATGGTGCAGCTCACAGATCCATCTGACGATATGACTTATCTCCCCGATGCTGATGAAAGGTGTATTGATGTTGACCAGGTTAGTTAATCTAAGGATCGATAAGACGAGGTAACAGTTGCTTTCTTACCAGAATTATCAGGTGTGGTGGGAATTTTCCCAAAGAACAGGGCATTGCGTTACCAGTAAAATAAGACTTTGCCACGTTGCGTCCCGAAGATATAGAACCATATGGCATCTTCATTATGCCGATTGGGGGGACCAGGGTTGTCCGAATTCAGTGGCACATTTTCTCGGTTTCCTCGAAGAGATGCAAAGTGTACACCAACACTCGATGGGTGAAATACCCCCTGGGCATAATAAAAATCCACCAATTCTGGTTCACTGCACTGCAGGTGTCGGACGTACTGGTCTGACTATTTTAAGTGATTTGTTGCTGTATACAGTTGATCACAACCAGGTAAAAATGTTCTGTTGCTGAAAATAGTATTTATCACTGGTTAACTTTATTCCAGGAAGTTTGCATCCCAAGAGTAGTAGGATTACTTAGACAGCAAAGAGCTCTTATGGTACAAATAATTGCTCAGTATAGATTTGTATATTCATTGTTAATACACTACCTAAAACAAACACGACTCATTTAATAAGTAAATCAGTATATATGTTTGCCATTGCTAGTGCCTAAAATTAATTTGTATTTTTGGATAGTTTTCAGTGTGCCTTTTTACAGCACTAGAATGATATGAATTATTATTGTGGGGTTGTCGGATGTATTTATTTTTAATTTTTGAATGATTCCTAACAAAAAAAAACAAACACTCGGCAATCCTATTTTGATGTTACTTTAAATTTAACAAATATTTGCCAGTATTTTCTAAAGCTGCTGTCGTCTTAAATTTTAAATAGTGTTGCTAATAATGTAGTATCCTGCATTGACTTTATGTATAAATATATCAATTTTAATTTACTTTTTTCTCATCATTTTAATGCAAGATATAAAGGCTGTGTAATTGTATTGGAGATATTTTAACGATTTATATAGAAATTAATTGTGATCCTTTTTTGGTGCCTTAATTGTACATACCATTTCAATGAAAAATAAAATTGTACATATATTTTTACTTGTTTATTTGTTTGGTAGTTTGTTACAGACCATATATAATATCAAACCCACTATTAGACTGTTCTAAAAAAATCGATTGACTATTTTTTTTATTAAAAAAGCTCTGCTGAAAATTTCCTAGAAATCATTAATAAGTTTTTTGATTTTGGAAATTTGTAACTAATAAAGAACTCAATATACAAAAATGAACCATGCTAATTTTTAATGAGAAATTAATGTTCTGTCATTTGTTTAGGTTATTTTTTAAATAGTTGTTCACAATTGAATTTGAAAAAAAAGTGAAGTCCTTGTTTTTCCCATTTTTTCCCTCAATAAATCAAATTTGTATTCTGCATCATCTAAAATTATTGTAACAATATAATCGCTAAAAATAATGTTAAAAATAACAATTATGTTGTTTTACTATTGACAATTATTTATTTACAATATAGTATTGCAAATAATAGTATTTATGAAGCTCAATAAAAAAATCATCGTAAATTTCTTTATAATTCAAATTTTATAAAAAATTTATAATTTTTTCTAATTAAAGAATTAAAATTAATTGTAGATTAGATGAATTTATGAGATTAAAGTATTTTTATTGCTACTACCTAAGTTGTTCTCCCTTTCTGGTAAGACACTTATTATATGCGGTTAGAGTGTCGCCGTAGCACTTAATAAGTTCAAAAGTGAAACGAATAGAGGGGTAAGGGAGAAAAGTTCTAAAACAGATAGGAATTCGTCTATATTAACGAATACGCTATTGTAATTAAATAATTTTCATTAGTAAAACAACATAATTGTTGTTCAATATTAGTTTAGTAATTATATTGATTTGATTTTCGTTGATTTAGACTGATCGGAAAATGAAAAAAAAAAATTGCGAATAACTTTTAAAAAAAATGTTCTATTTTGTATCTGTTAGTTTAAAAATTATTAGTTTTTTTTTCGTATATTGAGTTGTTTGTTAATTTAAAAAACTCAAAATGAAACAGTTCAATCAAAAAAAGTTGTTAATGTTCAAAGCTTGATTTATTGAAAACAGCTCGTCCCATGAAATTTTTCACAAAATTATATTCAGATAAATATTTTTACCTTGGCTTTTTTGACGCAATAATGAAATCAGGACTAAAAAATTGAAAATACAAATGATTATGGACAATATTCTCTGAAAAACAAAATGGACGATTTTTTTTTGGACCAGTCTGCTGTGTATTTGGTCCACACTGTGCTCGCGCCAAAGCAATCCAAAACCAACAAACTGCAATAAGTAGGGATGTTCCCATACCATTAAAGTATCGATACCTACTCATTTCGACAGTACTCAAATCTTTTTTCGATACTACTCAAATAAATACTCCTAAAGTATCGATACTTTTAGCACTTAATTATTTATGTATTTATTTTAATGAACGTTGAAGGACAATAATTAAAACAAAATTAAGAAGGAAAAGAAAACTTTTGTTATAAAGGTTTGCGTCACGTTAAGCACGTACTTTAAACAAAAAACTCCATGATAACATAACTGAAGGGCGGACGTCTTTCTCGGGCTCGGTCGAGTGAAGTCGGACGAGTTCGGCTTGGCTGACGCGAGACAACGCGTCAGCATAGATCAGATAGAGATTTGTTTGTCTGATGATTAATGGTGAAGGCTGATTCGATTTGATACCAAGTACGTTTGTTTCGATACCGAGTAAGTATCGCAAGAATGATTCGATGCTTTAAATACTTGGTATCGAATCGAAAGTATCGAGTACCTACTCGTATTTACTAGTATCGCAATATCCCTAGCAATAAGTGAAAAAAATTCGTCATGTATAAATATATATAAAAATTTCAATCCTTTAAAGATAGGTCAGTTAAGTCTGTTTAACTTGGAAAATATTTTGTTCTTTATTTTTTCCCTAGAAAAACTTATAAAATGTCAAAAGCAATGCCTATTTGTGAGATGTAGGATCGTGGCACACAGTAGGCAGTAGGATACTGATATAAAAAGTTCTGTAATTATTTAACTTTTTACTGTTAAATTTATGTTCATCGCAAAAATAACAATTCAGTAATAATTTACTTAACATATAATTTAGAACAAAGAATAATATTGCTTAACAAGCAGATAGAACAATTGCAGATGCAGTGGCAATTGCGAGCATTGCATAACCTGTTGCATACACCTCCTTTATGGACAAGAATTTTCCAGTGTCCCATAACAAATGGCGAATCCCATTCCAGAAGTGGTATGTTATAGGAAATGCAAGCAAAAATTTCAGTGTGAAAATGGAGCCAGCTCCAATTTTTGCACAGTGAAGTTGCTCTATGTAATGTTCAATAGGGCATTCCAGAGAAACAGCAGCTAATCCAAAGGCAATGGTGTAGGTAGCTAAAGCCATGCCTAGAACATGGTTTTATTAAGAACCCTAAATTGTATACTTTTTTATACTTAACCATACCTGTAGCTCTATGTGTGATGGAGAGCATAGAAGTCAATTGAGGGCGATAGATTGTTAAATGGGGTGATTGTGGTCTTTTCAATCTCAGATTTCTTTCATCATGACTCTCTTCCTTAGGAGGAATATATTCGGAACTCTGAATTGTTACATGCCTTAAACATCTTACAAATTGGTTTCCTCCATTCTTCAATATTTGGGGATGGAAACCTTTGGTAGTCAATCTAAAATGGTTATATAATTAGTAATGAGTAAATTCTACACGCAGAGAGGTTGGTGTACTTAAACAACTGCGACATTTTCAAACTTGAAAGTTATTTTCGGCTTGTTAATTTGTTTCTTCAAAAAATAAACCTAGAACAGTTTGATAAATTCAATAATTTTTGTGAAAATTAAAATCTTCCTTTTCTTCTTTTTAATAAACCAATTGGGAAAAATTGGCAGCGTTATTCGTCCATTTCCAATGAGCAATACCCTTAGCTCAAGCAATGCAAAGAACGCGCAAATAGTTTTGTCATAAAGTCTGTCTGCTCTAAAATAATTTTTAATCAAGCGTAGTTTTAGAGACCAGCCTAAATTCTTGTTACTTCAAATATTAATTTTAATAAGCAGAATTTTTTTGTTTAATTGGTATTAGCTGATTAATTAAACCAAAAATTTCTATTCTAAACGGAGTTTAAAGAATTAATAATCCTGTGAACTATGCTCTATGTAAATCAACTTTTGCAGGTTGTTTTTAACAAAAGAAAAAATAATAGTGGTTTGGGAATTGCTTTTTTAAAGTAGCCTTAAATTTTGATTCAGTAATCTTTAAATTCGGCTTAACTTTATTTAGGCGTCCGTCCAAAGCACATCAATTGTCATGTTGGTAGCATTGGTTCATAAAAGGAAATGGAGTGGTATTTCACTTCCGGCAGTCAAATTGAATGTCGTTCTTTTTGTAAAGTGTCATGGTGGAGTAACAAGTAAGTAACTTTGTTTTTAATGTTATTTATATATTTAAGTGCTTTATAGTACTAATTTTCTTTAAGTAAAGTTCTAGTAAAAATTAATTCTAAAAAACGTCCACTCTTCATATTTTTGCCATGATATTTTGGTTATCGGTATTAGACCACATGGCGCTACTCATTTCTGAACGTTTGGGGTACGGTGAAACAAAATTTATGCATTTTTTTCGCAATGGTTGGCCTTTTTTGTGATAGAGTAATTACAACCTCTCTGAATATGACTTTGTCTCAGGTAGGTTATGTTTTTACTTCTAATATTTGAAAAGGTAAGTATATTTTTTTTATTGTTATAGTCATATTCAAAGAGCGTTGGTTATATTTGAATATGGTTTATAACACCCAAAATGTGTTTAATTTCTTCTAGTTGAGGAAATATGCCGCAGAACGAATATATTGAACGTCACCGAAAACTTTATGGTCGGAGACTTGATTATGAAGAACGGAAGAGAAAGCGTGAGGCTCGATTACCACACAAGCGATCTCAAGAAGCCCGTAGTCTCCGCGGTATTAAGGCCAAGTTGTTTAACAAACAACGCCGAAATGAAAAAATACAAATGAAAAAAACCATCAAGGCACATGAAGAAAAAGAAGTGAAAAAATCAAGTGAAAATGCATCTCAAGGCGCCATACCCGTATATCTGCTGGATCGTGATGTGCAACAAAGGGCTAAAGTGTTATCCAACATGATTAAACAAAAAAGAAAGGAAAAAGCAGGGAAATGGGATGTTCCAATTCCAAAGGTTAGAGCTCAAGCTGATTCAGAAGTATTTAAAGTGATTAAGTCAGGAAAGTCAAAAAGGAAAGCCTGGAAAAGAATGGTCACAAAAGTAACATTTGTTGGAGATGGTTTCACCAGAAAACCACCAAAGTTTGAGCGTTTTATAAGACCCATGGCTTTAAGATTTAAAAAAGCTCATGTTACACATCCTGAACTTAAGGCAACATTTCATTTGCCCATTATTGGTGTTAAGAAAAATCCCAGTTCTCCAATGTTCACAAGTTTGGGTGTTATTACTAAAGGCACTGTAATAGAAGTTAATATTTCTGAACTGGGTTTAGTAACTCAAGCAGGCAAAGTGGTCTGGGGAAAATATGCTCAGGTGACCAATAATCCTGAAAATGATGGATGTATTAATGCTGTTTTATTAGTGTAACTACTTTTTATTGTAAAATAAATATAAAATAAAGTGATTTATATCATTTGCATTGTTTTTGTTAAGCACCAATTAAAAAATGTTTGGAGTTGCTTATTTCCTTATATTTAATGTTTTAATTCATTAAACTTGTAATGTTAAAATTACTTGTTAATTTGTAAATTTACTGTTTCTTTTGTGGTGATTATCTAATGGATTAAGTATACCCATTAGTAAATGCCAATGATGTTTGTTTAATGTATTTGCTACTGTTGAATAACTGTGATTTATGAACTGCTCTGAGGCATCGAATGGGAAATATACATATGACCTTATCATTTTTGATATGATATAATACCATATTTTAGCTAAAGCATAAAATGCAAATCTTCGTTAAAACTCTTACTGGCAAGACCATCACGCTTGAGGTCGAACCATCAGACACCATCGAAAATGTTAAAGCCAAGATTCAGGATAAAGAAGGCATCCCGCCAGATCAGCAAAGATTGATTTTCGCCGGGAAACAACTTGAAGATGGCCGTACTTTGTCTGATTATAACATCCAAAAGGAGTCTACTTTGCATTTAGTGCTAAGATTGAGGGGTGGTGCCAAGAAACGTAAGAAGAAGAATTACTCAACCCCAAAAAAGATCAAGCATAAGAAGAAGAAAGTCAAGTTGGCTGTATTGAAATTCTATAAGGTATGCATATACACATTTTCTGTTCCACATCAAAGAATTTTTACCAAATGATGTTTGTTGTGTATTTGCTACTCTTGAAGAGTCATGATGTAAAACTATATCTGAGGTAGTTTTGTTTCGCTTCTATTAAAATTCATACAAAATTAAATTGGGAGTGCAAGTTAATCTTTTTGTGTTTAGGTTGATGAAAATGGCAAAATTCACAGATTAAGAAGAGAATGTCCAAGTGAGCAATGTGGCGCTGGTGTTTTCATGGCTGCAATGGAAGATCGCCATTACTGCGGAAAATGTGGTTATACACTGGTTTTCTCAAAACCAGAAGATAAATAAGTATTGTTTAAGCAATTCAAAATTTATGGAATAAAACTTAAATGATTAATAGTTATTATTGTCCTTTTTAAAGAACCAGAATTAAAACTCCAAGTAAAGTAAAAGTCATTAGTGTCAAAGTAAAACAATATTCTGGCATAGGAAACAATCATTAAGCATTCTATGTAGAAAAATCTTGAAAGGGGTAAAAAAAACATAGGAAAGGATACAAAATGCATTTATATAATTACAATGTTAATTTAAAAATATACTCTTTATTGCACAGCATAAAGAGACCACTATAAGTAAAAATTATAATCAAACCAAAAGTTTCCTACAAATTTAATAACAAAGTGTACCACAAAACCAATTAAAGCCAGGTAATTCTGTGCCTAGACCTTTGTTGTAAGTTTTTCCGCATTGATTGTAAAAGTCCTATAGACCTATAGTAGCAATTCAATGGTCCAATAAATGAATTTCAAAGAAAATTTTCTTAGAAGTATAACTTAATTTAAATTGACCCACTTCAAGGCTTCAATACAAAATGGGAGCTCATGAGTAGCTCACCAAATTTTCTGATAAATTTGGTTTTTATTATATCTTATCAAAATTCATATAAAGTATTTTAAAACCACCTAACTTCTATTTACATGCAATTCCTAATTAATTGAAAACTAAAATATACACTACAGTTTTATATGGGGTAACCCAAGTAAGTAAAATACCTAATTGTTTACTGATAAGCGAAGTGAAAGTGTCACTTTAATCGTTTCTGGTATTGTAGGGAGTGATCGGATGTTTTCAGTAGATTTTAGCCTTCTTTTTTTTTTGGCGTTACTAATCGAATTTGTTCATGCTGTTTTACAAAAATGTAGCCAAAAACTAATAGAAAAATTATAGAATGCAATACGTTGATAAACTTAAGTCAATCGTTTATTAAGCTCTCGCTCCGCTGTGCCAAATGAAACTCGAGACTAAAATGGCGTTTATAAAAATTGTTGCTTCTGATGGTCATAAAACAAAAAAGAAAAATAATCCCAGTATGGACAAAACAATGTAAAAAATGTCAGAATGCATTAATTAAAGTTCAAAAGAACTATATATAGTTAGCTGAAATTAAAATTTAGAATCGCTAATATCACACAGTTTAAAAGTTCTCAAGTTTTTGGGTTACCAGCATTTTATGTAATTCGCTTGTCTAATAGCAAATGAATGTACAAAATTGTACCATTTTGCAAAAAACTACATTTCAACCTATTCATAGGTTAGGTTATAATTTTCTGCGTAACAAAATGGGGTACCGCTAAAGGCCACACATTTTCATTGCAAACTTAAAAAAAATCGGACTTACACCAGTTTGTTGTTCTTTAGCTCAAATAATTCACAAGATTTACGAATACTCTTATCACAACGTTAGATTGATGAATTTCTATCAAGGATGTAAATACAAAACAAACAAAAAACTACATTAAATACAATTTTTTAAAAGAAACTTCCACAGGTTACTGTAATACTTTTTACAAAACTTCTGGATTCCTCCTGCGTCGGTTTTTGATGAGTCGAAATTGCTGACGTTTCGCCAATCATCCTGTGGGCTTCTTCAGTTTCAGCCAAGCTCTGAAGAAGCCAACAGGATGATTGGCGAAACGTCAGCAATTTCGACTCATCAAAAACCCACGCAGGAGGAATTCAGAAGTTTTGTAAAAAGTATTACATTAAATACAATTAAATTTTAATATGTTGGCTTAGTCTCTAAACATAATAGGGCCATTTATGCCTCACCATATTTACTTTTTACACAGTTTGTCAACCTTAATAGCCTCAATTGAATTCTTTATTTCTATAAAATAACTTTAGATATAAAGTAAATCTATTCCCAAGGTTTGCTCATGAAATTTCCACAAAATAACTCAACCAATACCACAATAATTTGCAAATTAAAGCTAACTGACTATTAATGTTCTAATTTCTCTGTCTTCTAAACACTGGAATCTCGCTTTTTTTGTTCCTACTCTTCAAATGAACTAATGTAAAGCAATACCTAGTGAGATCTCAACAAAAGAATGGGTGATATGCCATGCAGGAAAAACATTTTCCCAATATGACGGGTAATCTAACTCTTATTCTATAAGGTCCTTAATTACTTATGTCCTGTCATTATATTAATAAACTATCAATGAAATAAGTAAAATTATATTTATATATATTTTATAAAATAGCAAAAAAAAATTATATGTATACTAAACTTTTCTATAAAAAGAGAGCATCTATTTGGTGAAAGGAGGGATTGTTTATAATAAAATATCTATAGTTACATATGTTTTCCACACTCTAAACAGTCCCCCCATATTTACATTGAATCTTTTGAGAAAAATAACTTAACACTTGTACTTTCATCATGCCCTTCCAATTTTCTGAACAAATTGTGTCCAAAATAGTTTTGCAGTTAAATAACATTGAGCCACTAATCTGAACGCGGATTAAAATTACATTTATTCTTTACTCGGCCGGCTCGAAATTTATTTTTAGAAATTTGACAAATGCCAGAAACCAAAAGGGAAAACTGCCATTCTAAAATTTTAATGCTAATAAATTTTTGGTACAAGCAGATAGTTAACTCGGTTACAATATCTGTCCCAAGCACAACCGTATTTGTTTCTCGCGTAATCGTCATCCCTTTTAGAACAATATATCAGCAGGAGTATAACAGTATAAAGGAAAACAACAGGCGGAACGCATAAAACAAACGGTATAAACGATGCGTTAACTAAGATGTTACCCAAATGGTTTGGATATCTTACAAGACCCCAGAAGCCTGAGCACAGAAGCTTTTTACCTTGAGATGTTGGAATCGACTCCAAATCTAAAAATTGAAATTTAGTCATCGCAACCATCTAACAACTATACTTACGAGAAAACGAGGGACTGTAAGGATTTCTCACAAAGGCATCTCTTTGATTGTTACTTCCACGATATAAGATATAACCCACAGAGAATACCAATCCGGTCAGCAACAACTTCCAAGTCGCCAATTCAATATTGTATTCGACAATGTATTTAATTACCAATCCCATCATAAAAGGATAAATAGAATATCCCACACCAAATGTATACCCAAAGCCTAAAACATTTTTTACAGTGTAGGTACAGACTTCGATACAGATGGATTTGTAGGAAATAAACCTTCTTGTTGCGCTTCCGACGACGTCCAGGTAGGCTCAAAAATCAAACCATCAAGTATAAAAATTGAGTGAATTAAAAAGTAGAAAAGTGCGGTTGGCTTAATTTTTATTGATTTAATGCCAAAATCAAAACTCTCATTGTCAAATGACTGGGTCCATTCTATGCTTTTGTAAAAGAACGCAAAGTCAATTAGAAACTGAAATAAAAGAAAAAAATATTATTACTCTTGTTCACCCGTTCATTAAATTTAAAAGGTGTTAAAATGGGCCAGCCTGTGCCAAGGGCGAACCTTGACGATAACAAAATAATTTACAAATTTTACTAACTATACAGGGTGTTTAAAAACAAATCCCAAAAATTTAAGAGGGTGATTTGCTGCTTGAAATAAAGGATAGTTTGGTATACAAACGTTGACGAAGTGAAAGGGATTGAATTAGACTACCCCTATCATTCTTGCATAATTTTTTCTTTTATGTTTTACTGAGAAACTTTTGTCTCCTGCAATTTTTGTAGACAAAAAAAATCTACTTCTTAGAGCGTTTCTTATTAGTCCTTTATTTGACACTGCTGTTACTTTGCATACAAAATACAACTAATTTAATCAAAAATTTATTATGTAATCATTTAATTGTTCAATAATGAGTAATATTCAATAATGGGAATTACACTTATGCAAAAATGGCAGGCATCCATTTTACGTACGAGAGTGCAAAAAGAAACTCTTTGGAAGCTTGTCGTCTTATGCACGAATAGATCAATTAATTCATTTCAGAAATGTTTATTAATAAATTATTTTTTAATTGTAATTGGTTAGAAGAAAATGGAAAAATCTTGGTTGAAAATACAACAGTTTGACCCAAACTAAATAAATTTTCTATTTTTTTTGTTTTTGAAGACTAAGTTTTACGTGCAGGAGGTAAAAAGTTTCTAATAAACTTCTATCCCAATTTTTTTTCATGGCATTGCATAAGTCTGTCTAAATTTACTTAAGAAGAATCTAATTCGATCGCCTTCGCTCATTAAAAAAAACTATGCAGAAAGTCTGTTATAACAAAAATGCTTGCCTAATATTTTATTGTTCTATTTTCGTTTTTTAGAAAGAAAATATTAAAACAATATTTTTCCGCCATATATTCTTAGTAGTTTTGATACAACGTTTATATAACAAACTATGCTTTATTTTAAACAAGTTTTTCGGATTTGTTTTGAAACACCCTGAATTTTATTGCATCTATTGTTTTGTCACTTCTATAAAATTTTTTAAAATTTCCTATTTATTTTTGATTTTACAAAAAAATATTTTTGGCCCATTATAAAGGAAGGGAAATCTAGAAACTAAATAAGCTGCGTGTATGTTTCTCTGATAGTTGAACAGGTAAACGACGATTTCTACTTTCAAATCAAGAATTGCAAGAGTTAATGGAGGCATTAGATAGTGCCCAATTAGAAAATCCAGAAGAGAAGGATGAGAAAGAAAATGATTCTATAAAACCTTATGTTATCGATTCTGTAAGAAAGGAAGCAACAATTAAAGCGAATAAAATTGGGCATTTATTTCAAAGAGGAGAATTTAATTTAGTATATTGGTATTTATTTAAAAAAAAATCATAATTCAATTCGTGAGATTATCATTTATAAAGAACTGAAACTATATTTATCAAATCCTCTTATAATTTACTATAAATAAATGTAGGATATGAATTAAATAAACATGTTAGGTTGATAGATTTTTAAGAGGGAAGTGAACTTTATATCCTCCATTTGTTTATTATACGCTGTTGTGTAAAACGATGTTTACATTTGTAGGATATGAACAAATTAAATTGAAAATGACACTGGGATTTCTTTATAGAGATACAGGGTTAAATAAAAAGATAATAGATATAAATGTAATACAAAAGCTCCGTTTACTTCTTAAATGAATTCAATTCCCTCCCTCCCTTAAGTCTTTAAATTAGTAAGGTCATCATTCCAGAAGTCAGTCAGACTTTTCCCACAGTAACTTGGATTTTGCAAGATTCTTCAAGAAAATTATCTTATAAAATTAATAATTTTACTAAACAAACTAAATACTAACCATTCCGATAAAAGTCAATCTGGTGAAAAATACTTTTAAGTCGATAGACCCAAAAACTCTGGGATGCATCTCTCGGCCAAGGAAAAAATTATAGACTTTGCTTTTCCCTATTATACGAGGGTTTAGGGAACTCACAGGTACATAAAAACTTTTCAGATACCCGTAAAATGTCACTAAAAGTCCAACAACAAATGCAGATACAAAAAGTTGGAACAAATGGTTTGCAATAAATTCAGTCACTTTGATATTTTTGAGCTCCAAAATTATTACATTCAGCACAACTATAAAAGCTGCAAATAATCCATTCATATTGTATATTACTTTTCCCTGCTTGTCAGGTAAGCCTGCAACTTTTTTCCCTCCAAATGGCAATGCAGAAAGTAAGGCCAAAAAAATGAAATAACCGGTGTAGCTGAGAAATGAAATAGCCTCCAAATATGTTGATAGTTTTAAAAACATGGATCCTTTCTGAGAGTACTTCAAAAATGAACATGTTACTTCATCACAAGATGCAAATATCAAACCAACACATAATGGCGTTGCTAGCATTAATGTCAATACTCCAAGAGTGCCACCAAAATTATATCTTATTCTTTTATCTGGACTTTTTGATTGTCTTTGAGATTCGGCAAGCAAGTCATCTTCATCAGAAAATTCAGCAAGTTTTCTAGTTACTGTTTCAAACTGAGTCAAATGAACAACTCTTTCAACTTCCCTGTTTTGAGATTTTGTTTGTCTTTTGATAACACTTGAACTTGTAGATTCCACAGATGGGTCTCTTATAAAGTCATTTAATATCTACAAAATAATCCAATTAGTCCATTGTTTGATTAAAAATACATCAAAGATAAAAAATTAAAGTTACATTTTGGCTATGCAATTCTATTCTGGTTCTTCCCTTTACGGTTGCTCTTGGTTTCTCTTTTATCTCAATATTGTCATCTATGGCAATATCAGAATCTGTATCAGATTCCACAACTATTGGTTTCTTTCGAATAAAAGGGACTTTAGCATCTAAAACAAATATAGACATAAAATTGACACTTCCTTACTTTTAAATGATTTAATTACAAATTATGTTACCTCTAGATTCCGTTGATTCCATAACTTTTGCAGCTCTCGTAGGAGACCTTCTAATGGGACTCCTTCTGGTTGGTGTTAATCGACCAGATGTTCCAGTTTGTCTGTTTCGTTTTGGACTTTGTGTTGTAGGTTCTTCTTTATTTTTTGTCAAATTACTTTTACTTCTATTAGGACTTACAGGAGTTCGTTTCTGGCTCTTGGCTACATCAACATTTTTAACTCTTTCCTTGCTTTTAGATTTTCTAGGACTTTTTGATCTACTAGGGCTTTTTGGCCTGCCAGGACTTTTGGACTTCACAGGATTTTTCTTTGAGATTTCTTTTACATTTTGTTCTGAGGGCACCCTTCCAGCTTTTTTAGCAGGACCCACCATCCTAGAATAAATATATCCAGGTAATAATAAAAAGTAAACACAATTGCGGGAGGTTATATTAAAATGCGACTGGCGGCAAACACATTTTAAATGAAATTATACCCTTCCTAACACAGTATAATCAGATGCATTCAATATTAATGAACCATTTACCTGATAAAATTTAACCAAGTGGAAAACTTAAAAATACGACTATGAAAGTAAATTAAAAAAATATTCCTTTCACACTAGTAAACTCATAAGCGACGCCAAACAAGACGCTTGCATAAGTTACCAGAAAATCTCGATATAGTCAACATCTCTAACAAAATTCCCCCAACAATTTTGTTGGCGTTCTTTCTTTTTCTGTATCCTTGGCAATTTTTGATTGATTATAATGACTTTTGATGGTTTTATTATTAAGATTTAATTGAAGTTAATTGAATGAGAAATTAAATTTATTATTTCGGAATGGGAATGTTTAAACAACTAGTCTGAAGAAAATTTGCCAACGTGTTGCATACTGTACAATCTCTGTGAACATTAGTTTTTCGAAATTTCTTTGCCAAACCGCACGAGTACATGACAATAATTATTTTGATCAGAACAAATTGATTATATGGAGCTGATCGCGCGGGGTTTATTCGTTTTCTCACTTTTCCCATCCAAGGTGCCAAGTAATTGTAATCACTTTGAGCTTGAACAAAATCAATGTGATATCCAAATCATGTATCATGAGCAGTAAAATAAGATTTAGGTGAAGTTAGCTTTTATTCACATTAAAAGTTTTGTCTCGAGTACTATTTGAACCGTTTGTGTCCAAATTCAAATGCCCAAAATGGCGCTTTTTACGTGATGTATTTTGTTGTAGGAGAATGCGGAGTGTTTGAATCTCCGTTCAGTAATTAAAATATCGGAAACATCCAGTATAGCTCACCACAGTTCTGACATCTCCAAAAGTGACACTTTGTTGACGTTACGAACAAAGAAATTATTTCGTCCATTGCATCTTTATCATTTTTACTTTAATAATCTAGTTTTTTTCAACAACCTTCAGTTCGAAAATTAAGGTACTTTTCTAAAAAAAAATTTTACTCCCCACTCTAATGCCGGATTTATACGCTTATGCATTTCAATTTTTCCAAACAAATTAAATCGGTTTTCAAAGTTTACAAGTGCTTTAGCCATTTGAAAGTTTGTGTAGTTTTCAAAGTTGTTTCGTACATTCAAACTGGGAATTAATTTCGATGATGAAGATGATGAAATAATTCTCGCGACATATGTTATATATTATTTGCCAATTTTTTTCACATTTTCTTGGGTGGCACATGCACCAGTTTAATTTTTCAATCAAAATCTCGTGCGTTGCGTTACGCACTATATTTCCGAATTTTTACTTTCTACAAAGCACGGAAATGGATCGATATAGTTCTATGAGTTTACAAAGAAATTCTTGTTCTTGTCTTGCTATTTTGATATCAAATATTTTTTGGCACGCTATACACATAAATAGTTGGAATCTAGTATTTTATGCAAATTATCAACAGTCACAATTTTTGGCTTGCGCAAACTTAATGCTTTTGTTAAAAAACTGTCATATAGTCATAATGTGCCATAAATTTAAATTACTTTAGGTTATTTTTCAAAAAACACTTTCAGTTATAATTAATAATGCGATATGTTCTAATATCGAAAATTCACAATTGCTTTATTTCGTTTAGAAAATTATTAAAAAAAAATGGCCATCAGGCTTATCGTTCGATTTAGTGTCGATTTTAAATATAATTCCCGATTTTAATGGAGTTAGGAAATGTTTGGGTAAGCACTTGCGAAGGGGATATTAATTTAATTGATACATGTGCAGGACCTTGAACCAAAATTATTACAAAATAAAAGGTGCAGCTTATGAAAAAACTACAGTTGTTTTTTCTTAATTTCAATTAATTAAAAGTAGCATCAAATAAATATTTTTCTTTAACAAAAGCGAGTATAGATTGTAATTTTGAATTTTTAAATAGTAAACAGTATCAGGGAGAAAACGTAAAGATGAAATTAAGAAAATTTTGGGGGGCAATTTATTGACATACTTTTTTGTAAAAGGGCTTTTTAATATCATGCTACGTACTTGCTACTCTTGATGAAGATGACATTGAAAGATTATTAGAAAAAGCAATCATAAATTTAATTTCGCGTACATCATATGCTGTTATTGCGGACAATTAAATCGTTTAGATCAACTAAACTGTCAGCTTTGTGGCAGAAACAACCACGGTACAAATAATTGTCGATTCATTCATTCTAACCCGAATTATACACCCCGAAATTATTTTAATCATACACAAAGTCACGTGCGAAATAAAAACCGACAAAGGGATCGTTTTTCACAGGGTCATAGAAAGGCATCATCATTTAATCGAAATAACGAACGCGACAAAAGCACATCCCATTTTCAAAATAATCAAGGAAATAATTAAAGTAGGAACTAACAGTACGTAAATGTCAATCAAGAGCAATTTGACATCCCCCAAGAAAATGAAAATCATTCGAAAAACTAAAACCTGACTACGCGAGGGCACATTCTTGCGTAGTCAAACAAATAAAAGAAAATCGATTAAAAAAAAAGAAAGTTTACAATTGCTCACTATTACAAAAGTGTCAACAAATATTATAGTTGGGATCAAAGTATATTTAGCTTAGAAAATAAGATTAGTGCAAATTTAAATGATGTTATTATAGATATTCCAGAAGAAATACATAATAGAGAAATGTATAACAGAGATGAGGTAAAAAATAGCGAGTTAAAATTAAAGAAATAAATATTGACTCAAATAAACACAATGATGTATTATTAGAAGAGAAAAAAATATATAATTTAGAGAGCTTAAATTACGAAAATAATAAATTTGAAAATTCTAAAGGAAATACAATTTAAGACAATTTAGTTTTAAATTGTGAAAATATAATATTAGAAAATAAAAATAACTTAGTTGATTCCAATCATAATTTAAGAGAAAAAACAAATATTTTTTAAGTTAACAAAAATGAGTTAAAAAAGCTTAGTTTTATAGAAACTGCATTTTCAAAGGCAGGTAAAAAATAACTGTGCAAAATTAATCGATAATTTAAGTATTAATACCGATACTAATTATATAATAAAATTATATTTTCCAGTTTTCACATAGTATCTGATTGTGATGTGATATGATTGACAGTGATGGGCAAGATATAGACAGTGAAAAAGAACAATTAAGGGAAAACAGATACAACTTGCGTTATAGACTTTGGGAAAACACTATTAGAGTTACTGAAAGTTACTGTCTCCTCGATAAATATAAGTCACTCAGTAAATGTACCTGAAAACTTAAACTTCTTCAGTCATTTCGCTGTTGCCAAATCATACTCGAGAAAAAAATTGCGTTTCTAAAACTTGATGAATATTTTATACAATTTACAACATATTTTCGTCTGAAAATTAGGTGAGAATTCTCCTCCCGCCTTTTGTCAATGCAGACGTTAGGAAACAAAATCTTGTTGTCGTTCTTATTTTTTAACCTAGTAAGTAGTAAGAGTATCAGTGCAAATACTATTATGATTCATGCAGTAACAGAAATATTTAATAGAGAGGCGGTGGCAACGCGGTAAAATTCTTTCAACCGCTTTTCCGTATTATTCATTGGTCCCGATAAAGGGATTTGCGATGGAGAAGTTTTTATCTAAACGGTAATTTGTTTACGGAACGACCGGACAAAAACTTTACCACCGTTTATTTGCACCTTCACCGCAGCTGCTTGAATAAATACGGAGTAACCCGAGCGGGGGTGCAAGACGAAGGTCGATATTGGCTTTGGAGGGATCAACGTTGGGCATCGACGTTCGCATATTGGATTGCCGAGAGATCTTCAAGATTGTGGGGATTTGCTGGCGCCCCCAAATCGAAACAGAGCAACTTTTCGAACGTGATCGCAATGCGGGACGCATTAACGCGACCTGCCCGATTGATATTTATGAAAGCGGTGGAAGGCTTTCGCGAAGGTGTCTGAGCTCACGTAACTTTCGCAGATATTACCGAAACAAGCGCTAAAAATTCGATGCCAAACGGGAATTCCGTCATCAGTGGCGTTACCAGATTCGACTTGCCTGAATCTGAAATGGATATTTCGCAACTTGGTTTGTGAAAACGCATTCGGGTAAACCCAAATAGCACAAGGACGTCCGTAAAACATCATCGGGATATCTAACGGGGCATAGCATATATCCTAGGGATATACTGTTTCAGCTAAGGGACGTCTGAAGGATATACGATGTTACTAATTGGAACGTAGGATGTTCGTTAGGAGATACTAAGAATATCCAGTTATACTAGTTGAGACGTCGTTAGTATATCCGACTGTGAGGATATAGGATCTTATATAGATAAACCAGTGGACCTTACTTAATTATTAGGTTATTTCCAAGAGCCTATGAGAAATACTGGAAAGGTAATGTCCAGTAGTCCAATTGGTACGACTACAAAAATTCTATCACAGTATTTGGTACTCGCGTATATGCTAACGTATATCCTAAGAATATCCTCCACATGACCCAGGACATGCGACTTAAATGGGACATTGACCGGATAATTGGGGATATTGTGTGCTCCTGGAAAGATGCGCAAAATGGAACAGGAAACGTCCTCAACATCTAACTATCTCATTTGATTTGATGAATCTTAAATAACAAAGCTGCTTTAAAACTAACACAAGAATGTCTGATTTTAGTTAGAAACGTGCCGAAATGTGTTAAAACAAAAGGGACTTTTGGCACTCTGCGCTCGATACATATTTTAATGCGCTATGTTCCTTTACAGAAATAAACATTTATTCCAACCACTAAATACTGAGTATATATGTCTAAAACTTCTTTAATAAACTACCTCTGAATCCTAGACGAATTAATAATAGGAGTTTGTTTAAAAGGTATATTAAAAACTCTTAATTGAACTTGAGCCATATAGCTTAGACAACTAGCTAAACATGTAAATAATCCTTATGTAACATTAAGAATATAATATAGTATTACGATTGTTCTAGCAATAAGTACCTCTCGTTGTAGCTGACCTACTGCGGGTCTTTGACGGCATTTCATTTATTGTTTCCATGGGTAACAATTTTTGAAATAAAGAAATATTTATCTATCTATCTACCTACTTATTTATATTTGCGCGCTTCATCTTCTCTTTTTCGAATGACCAGCGAGCGCGGCACGCGGCTTTTATGGAACCTAGTACCTGCTGTCGATAGGAATGGAAGATTTT